AAACCGACGCGTTTTCAGCCATTGATGCGTTCATTACACGCGTTTATGTTTGTCGTTTATTTGTCGTTTTTACAGGGGGGAGGTTGGATGTTGCCTTTCTTGTTGCAACCAGATGGGTTCGTTTTATTAAACAATATTAAACAACACAAACACACACACTGTACATCCACACCACACACAAACACACACACAAACACACACAACAAACAAACAAACACACATACACACACATACATACACATTAAACACAATACACACGCACACCACCAAACTAATAAACACACACACCCAAACAAACACACACACAACAATCAAAAAAACACTCCCACATTCAACAAACATACACACACATACACACATACACACATACACATACACATTATACAAAATACACACACACGCCAACAAACTAATATACGCAGCAGCAAACACACCAACAAATAACACAAACACACCGTATTTAAACACACGCACAAACCCAGTTACAAGCATACATACAGGACGATAAAACACTCCCCCCCGACGCGATAAAAGTTACCCACAACGATAAAATATATTTCTATGAACGATAGATGCCAGAAAATCTTATGACATTCAAACATTCATTAAAACATACACACTCTTTCTTTCCCTCTCTCTCTCTCTCTCTTTTTTCTCTCTCTCTTTCTTTCTCTTTTTCTTTTTATCTCACTCTCTCAATCACTTTCTTCAGAGAAAAGATCTGGAATTCTAAGAATTAAATTAAAGGTATGTATAAAAAAGCATGTAAGTTATTTACTGCCAAATCTATCAATCAATATTCTAGAGAGAGAAAAAGAGATAGAGAGAGAAAGAGAGAGTGAGAGAAAATGTGAAAAAGAGAAAATAGGATACAAATAGAAAAACAAAATAAAAGAGAGAGAGAGAGAAAAAAAAGTGTTTCATAAATAATTTTTCAAGATATAGAAATATAGAAAGATAGATACATTGAGAGAGAGAGAGAAAAAAAATGAGAGAGAGAGAAAGAGAGAGAGAAAGAGAGAGAGAGAGAGAGAAAGAGGGAGAAGAGAAGAAAAAAGAATGAGAGAGAGAGAGAGAGAGAGAGAGAGAGAGAGAGAGAGAATAAAGATTTTCCAAGAATTTTAGAATGGCTATTATATTCTGCTGATGAAAAACATCTCAACGCTTCGAACTTCAATAACGAACAATTGAAAAATTAAAAAAAACAAATAAAATAATAAAATAATAATTTAAAATATTATTATAATTTGAAAAATATATAATGTTTTTGGTAGCCAGGGCGTTGATATTTGAATGTGAAATTTTTTTTAATTTTATACGTTGGAAAAGGTTGCAAAATGCCTACAAAATACAATTTGTGTGTGTATGTATGTGTGTATGCGTGTGTGTGTGTGCGTGTGTGTAATTGAATGTTTGTTGGTGTGTGTGTAAATGAATGCTTGGTGTGTGAGTGTGTGTGAAAGTGAGTACAAACAAATATAAGTGTGTGTTGGTGTGTATTGTGTATTGGCGTATGTATGTGTGTTAAGGTGTGTGTTGGAGTGTATTGACGTGTG